GCAGACCCGGCCCTGCAGACAGGGGGCGGCGGCACGGGGGGCTCAGGCATGTGCCGGAGGGGCCCGAGCCTCCTACCCTGCCTCCTGGGACCCCACTCGCTCCCCTGGGGCCCACGTCCACCCCCAGGAGGAGGGGCCCCCAAGTACACCTTCAGCGTGTACGGCCCCACTCAGCACACGGGGTCATGGTGGTGCCCCTCCCGGAGGAAAGGGGGAACAGGAGAGGCAACACTGTACGCTACGTGGTGTTCCCCAAAGACCAGCACAGATCCTGACTCAGGACCCAGGAGCGTGGCCTCATGTGGAAATAGGGCCCCTGCAGATAGGGTCCAGCAGAGATGAGGGTGTCTTGGGTGGGGGTGGGCTGACGACACAGAGCCTGTGACCCTGAGGACATGTGGGCACACACATGAGTGAGGACAGTTACACGAAGCTGGACGGTCGCCTGGGGCCCCAGGAGCTGGAGGAGGTAGGCGGGGTCCTCCCCCAAAACCCCCGGAGGGAGCGGGCCCCGGAACAGTTGGATGGGACTTCCAAGGTCCAGAACACGAGAAGGAGCCACGAGTTTGTGACCGTGTCCCGGGAGCCACAAGACACGGCACAGGCAGCGGAGGGCCTCCTGCCTGCCAGCTGACTCCCTCCTCTTTCCGTCTGTCCTCCCGCCCCGTGTGGTCTGGGGTGAGAGCGGGCTCTCCCGGGGGGCGAAGGGGGGCCCACCTTGAACTCAGGGCTGAGTTTGAGGAAGATGCTGGTCTTCCTGTCCCACAGCAGCACCAGGCCATCCTCGGTGTCCACCACCAGGTAGACACCCATCTGGCGGATGGAGTAGGGGGGCTCCTGCCCCACACCCCTCTCGAGCACCTCCACGCGGCCCTCACTCAGCCTCAGCTCGTAGCTCTGCGCAGAAGGGGTTGCTCAGGCCTGTCCCCGCTTGGTTTCCCAGGCATCCCTCCAGGGGGGCCGCAGCCCTACCCGGCCGCCTGCTCACCCCCAGGAACAGCTTGATGGCCTTGGAGCAGGTGACGCCAGTGGTCCCACAGGGGACGTTCTCGGAGACGACACGGAAGGTCCCAGTGCTGTCATTGCCACGGCAGTGGTCCTGGGGAGAGGTGAGGGGCTATCCTGCCGCTGGGGGCTGGGGTGCCCCAAGCCACACCGCGGGGCCACGGGAGGGCCAGGAAGCCCCCGGGACCATGTACCTGAAGCAACGTGTACCCGCAGTCCCCGCTGAAGCTGTAGCGCCTCCCATCGAGGGTGACATAGTGGCCGTCCCCGTACACGGCACAGGTGGCCAGGCAGGGCTCCTCTGTACACCGCCACTTCCTGTTCTCGCAGGTACTGGGGGCAGGGGGCACCAGTCAGGCCTGAGCTGGGCGGGGGAATGGGGGTGGGGCAGGTCCCTACGAGACCATGGTCGGTCCTAGAGGCCGGGGTCCCATCACCCACTGCAGGGAGCCCCACCACCACGTACCAGGTGTTGCAGCCCACCCGGATGGTCTGGCCGGGCAGGTAGCTGGCCTCGTTGTGCACGCAGGGGCAGTCCTTCGGAGCGATGCAGCGGCCCTCGCCATCGGCCACCAGCCCGTTGGGACACACACAGCCGGGCTCACACTGGGAGCTATACTGTGAGGCACCGGGGACACGGCTCAGTGGGCTGGGGCTCGACAGCTGAGCCCCCAGCACGGCCTGCACTGAGCCCAGGGAGCCCTCAGGCAGTGGTCTTCCCGGGACCACCCCGAGGAGGCACACGGGCAGATGCCCACGCGGCGTCGCCAGGGGCGTGAGGGGCACTCACACAGTCCATGTCCAGAGTGAAGCAGCTCTTCTGACAGCCGGCCCCGGAGGCCCCCGACGTGGCGTTGCGACAGTCGTCGAAGACCATGGGCGGGGTGCAGACTGGGGGGTTAGAGGCCGCTCAGGGTCCCACCGCCAACCGCCAGGCTGGCTCTGAGAGCCATGGCCTCACACTGTGTGTCCAGCAGCTGAGTCTGTGCCGCCCAGCCTGGGGCTCAGCCAGCGGGATGCATGTGCGTGTGTGCGGGGCGCGTGTGCGTGTGTGCAGCACGTGTGTGTCCACGGTGTGTACATGTGTTCATGGTGCATGTGCATGGCGTGCCTGGGGGCACGGATCAGGCCAAAGAGGGAAACCCCCCCACTCCCAGCAGCCACACTGACTTGGGGTTCTGGCCATCCACCCAGAAACTTGGAGATCATGAGAGCTCCTCCCTCCCCGCAGACTCACCTGGGGTGGGAACCTGGCCTCCAACGCAGGTCAGCGTGCCTTGTGTGCAGGTGCTGGGACAAGAAGGTGGTCAGAGGGTCCCCCCCAGCCTGGCTGCCCTGCCCACCAGGCCCATCCAGCAGGGGCTCTTACCAGATGACTCCACGCTCATGAAGCGACTCTCCGTTGGGGACCACAGAGCCCTCATGGTAGCAGGGACAGCTGGTGGCCGGCACGCACTTGCCCGCATCGTCCAGGAATGTGCCGTTGGGGCAGGTGCAGCCATCCACGGGGACAAAGCTGATACCACAGGTGACGTCCTTGTGGCTCCGGGCCCGGCAGGTGGGTTGGCAGGTCCTGATGCCGTATTGGTAGGTCAGCGACTTTGGGCAGGTGGTCATGGGCTTTGCTGCGGGACGCCAGGCAGGGGGAGGCAGTCAGTGCGGAGCGGCTGCCATCACCAGCCCCCACCTCCCCCTGCCCCTGCGTAAGAGTCCCAGGCCGGGCACTCGAGCCCTCCAAGCCCCGCCCGGGGACAGGGGCCCAGGAGCAGGTGTTCTGTTGGGGGGTGGGGACACTCACTGCACACGCCGTCCCTCCAGCCCCGGAGCAGCACCCCCTTGGCCGCGCAGGCGTACACGTAGGAGGACAGGGCGGCGCACAGGCAGTCTTCGCTCTTCTCGCAGTTACACGTGTCGAACATGCAGTTCTGGGAACGGGGCCGTCGTCACCCATGCCCCGTGAGTGTCCCCCACACTGCTGCCCCGCCTCCTCTAGGACCCTCCCCAAGCCCGCGCCTGGGGCCCCCATGCCCTCCGCAGACCATCTTGGTGCCAAGCCCCACTTCAGGCGGGTGCTGGAAGGACAACAGCCCCTCCTCTCGGGCACCCGACAGGGGCCAGCCCTTCTGGCCCTCAGACCCCAGAGCATCTCGGCCACCACTGATTTCTCATGTCCACTCCAGGGCCTGGTGGGCCACAAGCCCTCGGGGGTCGTCAACCCTATGCCTGGTTACAGGGCTGGAGGCACAGATGAGCTCTGGACCTCAGGACCAGGCCGGACCCTCGAGAAGCCCCTGTCCCCGCACCGAGGACAGCTGTGTGGCTGGAGCAGAGAGGCTGGTGGGTGTGCGTTACCGAGTAGAAGGTGCCTGGGTTCACGGCCGCGTGGCACTGGGCAAAGGGGCCGTGGGGGTCGGTCAGCCGGGAGCACCAGTGCTGAGCGTACTTCTCTGCGGACAGAGCAACAAGGGCGGTCAGCAAGCCGGACAGTCGTCCCCTGCTGTGGTCAGCAGGCACGCAGGTGCGGGCTTCACCACCCCCACAACACCCTGCTCCCTTCTTCCAGAAGTTTCCACGGCCACACTGGGAAACGCGTTGGTGAGTTGGCCCCCGAATGCCTCCTCCAGGCCAGAGTGGATTCTGCGGCCTGGGGTCACCGGCAACCGGGCGGGCCTGTGGCCGCGGAGACCCACATACCGTTCTCCACGCTGAGGGAGCAGGGGTCCTCGAAGCTGTTCTTGACGTTGGGGCAGGCGGCCTGGGTCTTCCAGGTGTTGGCAAAGGCGGCGGCCGTGCCCTCCACCACGCCGCCGAGGGTCCGGAAGTCGTCGGCCTGGTTCTGGTTGAAGTTCCCGCATAGGCCTGCGGCAGGAGGCTGGCATGAGGCACCGCGGGCCCCGGCCGCCGAGGGTGGGCTCCGGCTCCCAGGACGGGCGGCCCCTCTTACCGCAGGTGAGGCCGCGGAGCTCGGGCCCCAGCCTCACAAACACCTGCGTGACAGGCTCCAGCTGGATCCCGAGCTGCAGGCCCAGCTTGGTTTGCGCGACGATGAAGAAGGTGGACGGTCTGAAGAGCGTGACATTCGCTGTGGACGCAGGGGACGAGGCCTCAGTGGGCTGGGAGGGCTGGGACCCTCCAAGGGGGCAGGCCCCACGTCCTTACCTGCCGAGACGGGCACCTGGGTGTAGATCTGGTTCACAAACACCTCCCCGCTGGCCTTGACTGTGATGACCTGGGAGCGGCAGGGAGTGGGGTCAGGGCAGCCCTGGGACACGTGCTAGCGGGACCCCTGCCCTGGAGGGCCATGAGCTCCCACGAGGAGGGGCTGGCTGAGAAGCCAAGTTCTGCCCCAGGCTCAGCTGATCTGTCCACATTTCCCTCAAGGGCCGAGCATTCTCTCCGGTAAAAACCCAAGTGATTGTATGAAATAGGGAAGTTGGAAAAATAAAATAAAAATAAAAACCAAACTGGGACAGAGGGAAGTCGGCTTCAATGAAGCCAAGTTCTGGGCATGCCCTGGTCCCTCCTTCCAGGGCTGGTGGGGCAGGTGTGGAGGCCCCGGTGCCCCTCCCGGAGTGGTTCTGTCTGGGGACTGTCAGGCAGAGGCCTGCGGGCTGGGAGGTACTCAGCCCACATCCCGCTCACTCACTGCCACTCCAGGATCAAGAGCTTGGGCAGAGGTCACTTGCCATGAGGGACATAGACTCCCCCCAACTGGCATCTGTTCTCACCATGTACCCCCGACCCCCGGGTCTGTTCTCACCATGTGCCCCCAACCCCTGGGTCTGCTCTCACCGTGCTCCCCCCGTCCAGGCTCAGCATCAGGCTCTTCAGGCACGTCTCACTGTCCGTCAGGCCACACCGCCGCAGCTCTCCCAGCACAGTGAAGACGCTGCTGTCACAGAGCTGCAGACACGGGTCCTCACACTCTGCCCAAAGGCGCCTGACCCCCGCCTGCCCCCCGCCTGCCCCCAATCCCTGGAGACCCTGTGGGGTGGTGCCGGGAGCTGGGGCACAGATGCAGCAGACCCAGCAGCCCAGGCAGGGGTGGGCCGGCTGCACGGCCGTGGCCCAAAGCCGCTGGGTGGGCACGAGGCCCGGGTCGCACCTTGGCCAGCACGTAGCTGCAGTCCCCATGCACCGTGTACTGCCTCTCGTCAAACGTGGAGACGTGGGCGCCCCCCAGCACCGCACAGGTGCCCGGGCACGGCAGCTCCCGGCAACTCCACTGGCCTCTGGAACAGGTGCTGTGGACGGTAGAGACCACGCGTGTGCCGCCCCTGGGAGCATCCAGCCCCAGCTTGTGCACTGGCGGGAGGACACAGGTCTGGCCCAGGTTCACCTGCATCCCCGCCTAGACCAGGGCCTGGAGGTGTCTGCGTGGAGAGCCCTGAGCACGCCTGGAGTCCGCAGGAAGTGAGGACAGCCGGCCCTTGGGCCTCGGCACTCCCAGGCCATGTCCGGGGTTGTAGGCAGGAGGGGTCTGGGGTCCTACCAGTTTGTGCAGTCTGTGGCGTAGCTGGTCCCCGGAGCATAGGTGGCCCCATTGTACACACAAGGACACTGGGACGCCGGAATGCAGCCAGTCTGGCCAATGTCGTCGAGCACCGTCCCTGCAGAAGCAGGCAGGCCATGGACGGGGCAGGTGCCAGGCAGTGCCCACCCCTGAGCCAGTGGAGGGGACCCAACCTTGGGCCCAGGTCACACCGCCCTACAGGGGCTCCTCAGACCCAGGGACCCAGCCTGGCTCTGTGGGATTCCCGGGGAGGCCCTTCTCACCCTTGGGGCAGAAGCAGCCGTCCACACAGTGGTCCTCGCAGAGCTGGGAGTGCTCCGGGTTGGAGCAGGTGTCGGCGCAGGGCGAGCCGCACTCCCGGTGCTGCATGCTGGGCGGGCAGGTCTGGGCTGTGGAGGGAGGACAGAGCCGCGTCATCGCCGGCCCCCAGCTCCCGGCCCAGGAGGGACAGCAGGATGGGGCACTCACGGCAGAGGTGGGGGCTCCTCCAGTCTGGGGGCAGCCCCCCGGCGTGGGCGCACTGGCGTGCGTACTCGGCGAGCGTGGGACAGACGCAGCGAGTGCGGTCCGTGTGCTCGCAGAGGCAGAGGTCTTGCCGGCAGGCCTGCACGTAGCTGCTGGCGTCCAGCAGAGCTCGGCAGCCCGAGAACAGCCGGCTAGTCAGGATTTCCTCGCAGGGGCCCTGGGGGCAGAGGCAGGAGCACGCACTGAGTGCAGGCTCGGGACCCTCCCCCGGGCTCCGGGCCGCCAACCCACCTCGCCCCCACAGGAGCAGGGCCTGTCCACGCCAGGGCTTACCGTGCCACGCCCGCAGTCCGTCGTGGGCACGGGGACAGGGTCCTGACACTGCTCCGTGGGGCCGTCCATCTTCTGCAGATTCCCGTACTCAAGGGCTGTCAGCTTAACACCTGCGGGGACACAGCGCCAGGCTCCTGAGGCTCCCCAAGGGGTCCCCACTGCATCTCGTCCCCCATCCACCCTGCTGGGTTAAGGGGTGCTCAGGGAGTCTGAAAGTAAGTGGGGGACCACCCAAGTCATTCAGGGCTACGGGCAGAGGGCTGAGGCCTGAGGGTTCTCCAAGCCCGGGGCGGCATGCTGCCCAAAGGGCCGGAGAGTGACCCTGACCTCACCCAGTCCTTAGAGCCCAGCCAAGCCCGCGCAGGGACCCCCAGACAACCAGGCAGGCGTGTCCCCCATGGCTGCCAGCCCCATTCGGGTGAGCTTCCTCTGGGCTTCATGGGCCTGGCGAGGGGGTCCTGGGGGTGGGGGACTCCGGCTGAGTCACATGGAACCTCCCTTCCTGGCAGCAGGAAGCCCAAGAAACCAGGAGAAGGTCTGCTTGGAGGCGGTGCCAAGGTTGCGGGGAGGTACGTGTGCACGCGTGCCGGGGATGTGTCTGTGCCCGCGTGGGTGTGTGCGCAGATCCACATGTGCGTGTGCATGGGCACGCAAACCAGGGACACCTGACCCAAGGTTCTGGAAGTGCAGCCTTCCAGGGAGCACTGGGAAAGGAGTCCGGCTACCATGGGGCAGCTGTGGGGAGGGGCTTACCATGGGAGAGGAACTCGTTGAACATGGGATGACCATTGAAGTCTCCGCAGAGCCCGCAGGTCTGGTTGGCGAACTTAGGGTCCAGCTCCAGCTGGAATGAGGGGCCACATAAGATGCCCGGCCCCACAGGGACATGTCAGGGCCCACAGAGGCGCTACAGGCCGTGGACCCCTGCCTCCAACGCTTCAGGGTCTCCATGATGGGGGAGGTAGGCTCCCTGGCCCCCTCCTCACCAGCCCCATGCAGTGGGGTCTGGCCATCCCCCAGCACCTGTGCCCAGAGCACTTTCTTCCCTCTCTGGGGAGGCCGTTGGGCTGGCAACACCCCCCACCCTGGCCCTGGGCCCCAGTCTCACCAGGAGGCTGTCGTCTGGGCTCCACATGAAGACGAGGCCCAGCTTGGCGTCCACCTTCAGGTAGCCGTTGCTGATCTCGATGAGGACCCCCGACTGGCTGAAGGGTGGCTGAGTTCTGCGGAGAGAGGGCCGGGCTGAGGCCCCGAGGCCGCGCAGGGCAGGGCTATGGAGGCCTGATCCTGGCCAGGGAGGGCCCCCTACGGCCACAAATGTGACCAGAATGCTGGGCCACAGACAGCGCCACGGGTGCAAGAGGACAGCGGACCCCGGAGCTCCGTGGTCACGGAGGAACTAGGAAGGGGGCCACTTCCCCGGGTGGGAAAAGAGCCCCAGGCCTCTGAGGGTGCGCTCAGGGCCTGCCCGGGCATGACCCCATGAACCCCCAACAACCACCCGCACTCACGGGCGGCCGTTAACCAGGATGGAGCTCTTGGTCAGCTGGATGACCATGCCGTCGAGCTTCATGGTGACTGCGGTGACCGTGGTGGCATTGGACTCCCGGCCGCGGCGCAGCTGCACGTTGAAGTCCTCGTACGTGGCGCCGCAGTGCGCGGACAGGATGTAGTTGCACAGGCCGGGGAAGCGGAAGACATCGCCGTCGAAGGTCTTGTAGTGGAAGTTGCCCCAGGTGCTGCAGACGCGCCCGTTGTGCGCGGGGTTCCGGGCTGCGGGCCAAGGAGGGCCAGAGGATGCCGTCCTACGCCCCGGGCTGGGGACGCAGCTGCCCCAGGGTTGGGGGGGGTGGACAGCAGGGGAGGAGCTGCTTGGACCCAGGCCCTCGGGGGAACGCAGCCTCTCTCCCAGCACTTACCCCGCATCCACGTGGGGAGCGAGACCCCGTCCAGCCGCCCCCCCAGCCTCACAGCCCCTCTCTCACCTCGCACCACCGGGGCCGTCCTCAAAGGGGGCAGGAAGCTCATCCCGCGGAGTGGGTGGCCTGCGGGGACAGGGCACGGGGTCACACCACCTGCGCGCAGGGGTCTCTGCTGCCCCCGCCAAGCCTGCCGGCACCACGCCCAGCTGGGGCTGGAGCTGAGGCCCCGCAGGCCGGCGGCCTTCCCTCCGGGCCGTCCCAAGCGGCTGCAAGTGCTTCGGCCCGGAATTCTGCCTGGAGCTCTTGCCCGGGGCCAAGTCAGGCCCAGCGCCCAGGACGACCCCTTGGGTGCTGAGGCCGGGCACAGACGAGCCTCCCTGAGGAGGAGGAGTGATCCTCTCCCAGGGCCACACACCCAGCGTGGCGGCACAGGTTTACTGGAGAGTCCCCCACCAGCCACCCCCCCAGGCCAAGGGGACACATGTGGCGAAGGGATCAGGACTTGTGGGGAGACAGGAAGACGTAGCTGTGAGCTCGGGCCTCATCTATCCTCCTGTCTGAAGCTGCCACAGGGAGACAAGGAGCCTTCGGGGGGCTGCAGGTGACTGACCAGGGCTGTGTGTCGGGGTGTCCTCCGGGCCCCCAAGTTCTGGCCCCGAGGGGCTGGGGCAGGGCCACACTAACAGGTGGGGGTCAACTCACCACCAAGCTCCTGGGGGACATAAAGTTCTGGGGACTTGTGGCCGTGTTCCACAGAGCTGCCCTGGGCCTGGCCTATGGGAAGAAGGAGGACGCTGGGCCTGAGCCAGGAGACAGGGGACAGAGAGAGGGACGGGCCGACGGAAGGGCCCAAAACAGGTAGGGGTTCTCTCTGCACAGGGCTGGGGATGTGGGGAGGGTCTCTGTCCACGATGCCCATGCCAGGCTCACGCTGTACAAGCCTTCTCTCAGCTTGCCTCACAAGCACTCGGGGGTCCCCAGGCCCTGGCATGTCATCACCCAGAGGCCTTCATTCATTCACTAGCCCTTTGTTCACACTGGGTATCTCCCTGCTTGGGACATGGGGCAGGGACGACTGTCTGCACGGCAGCCTGGGGAGGGGCCAGACGGTTGAAGCTGCGGGTCACCTGAGCTTGTCAAGAGACAACCAGGGCCCCGGGCGAGGATGTGGGGGTGCGGAGTCGGGTGGGGTGGGGCTGCCTGGCCCTGCCCCTGACCTCACAGGGGACAGTCCACACTCATCCGTGACGCAGGTGCCCCAGGAGCAGCCAGCAGAGACTGGTCCCACACATGGAGGCAGGAGGCCAGGGACGGTAGGGTGCGGGCATGCACGTCGAGGTCCCCATGGTGCATGGTGCTGAGGGCCTCAGGAATGCTGTCCCCTTGCCCAGGGCAGCTCCTCCAGGAGCACGCTGTCACCTGACAGCTGTGCAGGACCCAGCTGTCCCCTGGACGCAGAGGCCGGGAGGTGCAAACCTGGGTGGGAGGAAGCCTCAGGGGATCCAGGAGCCTCTCCCCAGCATCCCCACAGCGTGGACCTCACGATCACACCCACTCCCCAAGGCTGAGGTCCCCTGGAGACCCCTCTCAAGACCCAGACGGGGAAAATGAGCTGGTGACTCAGGGCGTGCAGTGAGGGGGTCCCAGGGCCCCGAGGACCGGCTCAGAGAAGGTCTGGCAGGGGCAGAGGCAGCAGGAAAGCAGCACAGTTGGACGTGCCGGCCAGCCGGGGAGGCGGTCAGGAGGCTCAGAGATGCTGGGTTCCTCTCCCCCACCTCAGGGGAGCGGCTCAGCCTCAGAGGCCCCTCCCCAACGTGGGCCCCCGCAGCCCCCGAGGGATCCCCAACCCACAAGCGGGTGCCACAGGACAGCGAGGGCCGGGGCCTGGGTCCAGCCTGGGAGCCGCTCACGGACACGCCAGCTTCCCCGGGGCCGGGGCCAGGTCGTGGCGCTGTCTGCCGCCCTCCCAGCCCCAGAGCCGCCCCAGGATGTGGGGGACCCCTGGGCTGCCAGGTCGGGACCAGCCCCAGAAGCCGCTCAGTGAGAGCCTTACCTGTGTGCTGGGCACAGGCCAGGGCAAGGGCCAGGCCCCAGAGCGGGGCCAGCGTCCTGCCGCCGACACCCATCCTGCGGAGGGAGGGGAGAAGGCCCCGGGGGCAGCATCTAAGGAAGGACCTGAGTGGGCAGGGGCCTTTTGTAGCCCCAGGAGCTGGCTCCGGCCCCAGCAGCTTCACGTGGGAGGGCGGGGCAGGGCCCGCTCTTCCCCTCACCCGGGTAAACAGTGGGCACTGGCTTGGGGCTGGCCGGCCGCCGGGGACAGGCGGAGATGGGCCTAGCTGCCAGGTGGGGCTCCGCTTCCCACGGGCCCCCAGTCCTGGCCTGAGGGGACCCTCCTGCTGTGGCCCCAGCCCTGCAGCTTCGCTGCTTCTGTGGACCCTGACCCCACGGACTCCCTGGGACGGCCGGTCCTTGCTCTCTCTGGAGGCGCCTGGGGGCAGCACCCCCAGCGACAAGACCCAGCCCCACAGTACAGCCCCCAGCCTCAGACCCTGGCTGGGCTTCTGGTACCGGTTCCTGGCTCCAGGCGGCAGTGGGCCCGGGGCAACTTGAGTCACATGTGGCCTCGTGGACACGAGGGGTGAAAGTAGCCATGCCCACTGGGCCAGGCCGGGGAACTGCCCACTGGCTTGCCCCAAAAATCACCCCACCAGGTGGGCTGAGACAGCCCCACAGCACAGCGGACACCTGGCCCCAGACCGCGGGTGTGTGGGCGTCAGGTCCTTTGGGGCGGGGCCAACGGCGCTGAACTCTCCGCACGAGACAGCCACACGCCCCACGGACCAGCAGCTCCACTGACTGCAAGTGGGCCCGACCCGGGGGTCCCCACTGGGGACGGAGGCGCAAAACCTGGGCTGGGCCGTTCCGAGCATCTTTCCTGCACGGAGGGGCCCGTCCCAACCTGGTTTTCGGTCTCTGAGTCGTCCCCTCGCCATGCCCTGACTTGGCCCTGGTCCTCTGAGAGAGAGCACTGCGTGCGTCAGGGGGATCGTGGGGGGTCTGTGGGATCGTGGGGGATCTGTGGGATCGTGGGGGAGCAAGGGGGAGCATGTGGGAGCAGGAGCAGGAGCCTGACGGGCGTGAGTATGGCCCCCAGCAGAGCCTGCTGCTAACCCCCCCAGGCTCCCCTGCTGGGCCTTGGAGCTGGACACCGGGTCACCCGCAGCTGAGCAGGGCAGCGGGGTCCCCGGGGACAGGCAGGATGGACGGGACGGGCTCCAAAGTGCTATGAGTCTTTGGTGGGCAGGACAGGGCTTGGTGGGAGGCAGGGCCTCAAGGATTTGTGGGTGGGGCCGGGACCCTGGCTGAGGGGAGTGTGAAGGACAGACGCCTCCCCAAAGGCAGGAGGCACAGGTCCAGCAGGGTCCATGCTGCCGGCACTGGCTCAAGCTGGAGGTCGCACGCGACTCCTTGCTCCTCCAATCCAGAGCCGGGCTGCTGGGGGCATGTCCTGCCTACACAAGGCTGGGCCGCCCTGGAAGCTGCTGGCACTGCTCTGCCATGAGCGGCTGCCCAGGTGCCTCCAGGCCACATGAGGTCCCTGCCTGGCGTTAACTTCCCTTCTCAGGCTCACCCCCCCACCATTTCCCGTAAGGCACTGCCCAGGGCTGCTGAAAGCCTCCGTGACCGCGGCCAGGGTCTGAGACAGCCTGGGGTGCAACCTGAACCACAGGACCCGGGCTACCGGGCACTTTCTCATCCAAGCAGGACACCCTGGGAGGCCCCAGGCCTGGCGTCTGCTCACGTCTCAGCTTTTGGGGTTCTTGAGGGACCCCTGAGGAGGCCGCTGGAGTCAGAGCAGGTGTGGGACTGGCCACCTACCCTCAAACATCAGGGCCCTTCTTCCCTGTGACCTTGTGCCCCCGGGCGGTTCGCGGGCAAGCATCCGTCCTCTGAGCACCTGGTGCTTGGCCAGCCTGCCCCCACCATCATCCATTGAATGGCCATGCACAGAGCCAAGGCCAAGTCTATGGAGGGGGCTGTGGAAGGGTGAGGGGTTGGGGTTCCCCGGAGCAGCCCGGCAGTGACTCTGCCCCCTGCCCCTTCTCAGAGGGCTTCCTGCTCAAGGAGGGGTGGTATGGGGACAGGGCGAGGCTGTGGCCGGCTGTGGCCTCTCTCAGCCTCCCTCCCCTCATCTGCAGACAGGGTCCGTGGGAAGCTTGGCAGGCCGTGGGCCATACACCGTGGAAACCCACGGCACGGGGGCCGCACACAGGGGCACATGTAGGGAAAGGCCTGGCCCAGGGCAGTGGCCCCAGAAGCCTTTGTTCCCCTGGGGTCCCTGAGGGCCACACGACCACTGCCAGGACCCCAGCCCCAGGTCTGATAGTGATGGGCTTGCTGGACTCCAGGGAGATGGGACAGGGTCCGGCCCTCACAGGATCTAGCCAGCCTTGCCCTGCAGGCGAGAGGAATGGCGTGCAGGCCTTGGCTGTGTCCCCGAGTGGGGCTCTTGCTGCCACTGCTATCACTGGGCCACTCAGATTTGGGACAGCAAGTGGCCATCAGGCGGCCCTCTTTGTCACCAGTGGCTGGACCAAGGCTGACCCCGGCGAGGACAAAGCCCACCTGGCGGGATCTGGCCTGAGCAGGGCCCACAGGGAGCAAGGGTCCCACAGGGGGCAAGGGCCCCAGAGGGGGGCATGAGCCCATCTCCCCTCAGGGGCTGAGGTTGAAGATGAGGCCCAGGCTCTGGGCCCTGCGCTCTGTCATTTCTTGGACTTTCTATTTAATGAGTGTGGGATCGTGGCTCCCCCAAAGTACGTTGAGTCTCGCACCGCGGCAGTTAATGGGACAGTGCCTTCCTCTCCTGGCAGTGCCCAAATTCCTGCCACCCAAGATGCCCCTGAGGGTCGTGGGAGTGGCTCTGGCCAGCTCCCACCCCCCGTGCAGGCACCGAGCTTGCTGGCATCACAGATGGCGAAACGGGCATTTGCGGAAGAGTTACCACTTGTCCCGGGTGATAGGGAGTGATTTCTCAACCGGGACAGGCTGTGTCCCTCGCAACCCCGAGGAGGAAGTGGGCAGTGGGCTGGGCTCTGGGAGCCACTGATAGCGGCCAGATTACCTACAGGCGCTGTCGACACAAAGGGCAGGTGTGGGCCTGGGTGTCTCCCTGCCAGGCGCTTCCTCATAGGGACAAGGACCACTGATCTCTCCCTGCTTGGCCCTGGGGCCCCAGGGAGAGCCGTCTGCAGTGCCCACGGCTGGGCTCAGCCTCCTGGCCCCGGTGGGCTGAGACCCTCGCTGCCCGATGGGCTAGGGGTCAGGGGTGTGCTCTCCCGTGAGAGAGAAGGGGAGCGGAGAGTAAATTTGGTTTTCTGGTGGGGCTGCCCTGATTTGAAACCTTCGTGCGTGTGTTTATTTATCTGAATCACTGAACAAATAGAATTCCTCTGGAGAGCTGGGCTGGCTGCTGGGCCCTGGCCCCCAAGGTCCACGGTCTGGCCGAAGGACGGGTTCCCCCCGCCCCCCACCCCCACCCCATGTCCCCAGCACCACCCCATCCACAGAGGGCCCCACCCCTGCCCCCATAGCCCCAAGGGTCTGTGACAGTGGGGGAGGGCACTGTCCACTGGTAGGGGGGTTCCCCGAAGGTGAGCACATTTGTGTTCCGGGGTCAGGGGAGGCTCACACGCTACCCCTCCCCTGTCCCCTGTCCCCGGGCGCTGGGGCCTGCCCAAGGGGGGACAGAATGTGCTGTCCTCCCACCCTCCCTGCAGCTCCCATGGCATGTGGACCACGGGGCAGCCTCACGGCAGGGGCGCAGGGGTGCAGGGTCCGTCTAATACTCCCAGCAAACCTGAACACAATTTTTTTTTTTTAAAGCCATTATGAGGATGTGAAGTAACTTCCAAGGAACATGGATATAATGGAAGGAGAAGAGTTGAGGAAGTTCAGGAGAGATGCAGAAACTCTGGAAAATGACCAAGTGGAAACCCTAAAACTGAAAAAAAATCTGAAATAAAATAGTCATGTAATGGCTATGAATGAATAGTCATTAACAGAAGATAGGGTAGTGCACAGGGAAGAATCAACACGCTTGGAGGAGGTGAGTAGAAATGATCTACACTGAGGAATCAAGACGAAATGCTTGTTCTAAAAAGTCTCAGTGACCCAAGATAATGTCAGAAGTTAAGTTGATTGTAGAGAAGAGAGGAAAAAGGGGATAGAAAACATATCTGAAGGGAAAAAATGGCCAAATGTTTTCTAATTTGACTAAAAATTAAGGATCTTAGTTCCAAGGAGCAAACCCTAAGAAGAATAAATATTTAAAAAATCACATCTATGCAAAAGATAGTCAAAGGGGTAAAAAAAAAAAAAAAAAAAAAGTAGAAGAAAATCTTTAAAGTGACCAGGAGAAAAGATACATATAGCATACAGAGGAAACAAATAATAAAGTGGTAGATATAAATCCAATAATATAAAAATTTACAATAAATGTAAGTGGACGAAACTCTCCCATTAAAAAGGCAATTATTTTCAGATTGGATACAAAAAAGCATGGGCCAACCATAATCTGCTGGTAAGAGACACATTGTAAACATATGTATGCAGAGCGGTTAAAAGTGAAAGGATGGGAGCGTGTATGCCTGTGATTGAGAATCACAAGGAAGCCCAAGTGGCTACATTACCATCAGACACAGGAGACTCCAAGACAAGGACTATTATCAGAGATAAAAAGGGTCATTTTACAATGCTAAAGTGCCAGTTCACAGGAAAGCATGACAATGTTAACTATGTATATGCCTAATGACAAAGGTTCAAAACACACCAAGTAAAAATTGACAAAATTTAAGGGAAAAACAGATACATCCATCAAATTTGGAGAATTTAACCCCTTTCCCCCCTCAGTAATTGGTAAAACAAATAAACAAAAATTCAGTAAGGCTGGCAAAGATCTGAAAGACACCATGGGCGGACTTGACCTATATTGTTTTAAATCTACCCAGGAGTCCCCAATACATGTCCTTTACATGTCCATGTGGACCATTCATCAAGATCTCGAGAATACCACCAGGCTATAAAACAGCTCAATGAGCTTCCAAGGACTGAAATCATTACAGTA